TTTTTTTTTTTTCTTCCCCCTTTCCCATTGTCACCGGGGTAATTATTTAAATCTCCATCTTGGAAAGTTGCATTTCACCCAGGGCAGACACTTCCCGGAGACAGGGTGTGCAGAGAGCCCCGCACCCCCCCCACACTCCCCGCAGCCACATCCTATCTCCTCGCTCCCATTGTTGGCAGATTTGGGCATTAAATAAAAAAAAAAAAAAAAAAAAAAAAAAAAAGAAAAATAGATGGAGGAAGAGAGGAAGGGCCGAGGGGAAAGGGAGAGGAACTGTGCTCTGAAACACAAGGAGGGATAATCGTATGCAATAAGCCATAAAAGCATATGGTTAAACATTAGCTTCTGAGGTAGCACTGTTTAGCACTGAGAAACACCACAAAACTCACAAAACACACACCACCACAGCCTCATTTTCAGTTATTGGGTTACAGATATATATATATGTGTGTGTGTGTGTGTATATATAAAGTATTTCACTCTAAGCTCTTGCAAAGCACAAAACATGGACGAGCTCTATTTTAGGAAGCTTTCTTAAACGTTTAAGAACTTAAGCAGGTAATTAAGACTTTCAATCACAGTTTTTCCATTCTCAGCATGGCTAGATCAACTTGTCTTTCTTAAACTTTTTAGGCTAGCTTCAGGAAAGATTATTTCAAATGTGTTACAATTTACAAGTAAATAAGGTAGAGTAGATGATTTTCCATATGCTCACTTGAACATAGCATCAATGAATAGAACAATTCTACTCAGAATTCTTATTTAATAGATAAGTCAAACAAGAAAGTCACACCTGCTAGTTCATAGGAAGTCTGGATACCAGGGAAAGAAAACTTTCTCAAGTGGAAAAAAAAAAAAAAAAAGAAAGATGCGAGGGGTTTGTTCCGCCCCGGGAAGGCGGCAGGGCCCGGCCCCGCTCCCCCTGCACCTGCCTGCCGGGGAGTCCTCTCCGTCCCAGTCCCGTGCGGCAGCTTTACGGGGCTTTGCATGATTTAAAATTATCCAGCCACATCGGGGACCGGGCCGCTCCTCTCCGCGGGCTCTTTCACACCCCCCCTCCTTTTTTTTTTCTTTTTTTTTTAGTTTTTCCTGCCCTCCCTGCCTGCCGCCGCCCGGGCTGCGATTCGGGACGGAGAGGGGCTGGGGGTGGAGAGGGAGGGGGGATGTTTCACGGCCGCCCCGGGAGGTGTCGACCCCCGGAGCGGAGCCTGCCTGGATTTGAGGCGATTTCAATAAGAAAAGCGATTTCACTAAGGGGAGGGGGGTGCGGGTTTCGGTCGCGGGGATTGTTCTCCCCCAGAGCACGGAGCATCTTTATTAAACGCAATTTTTTAATATTTTTTTTTTTTTAGCGTGGTTCCTGGGAGGGGGACAGGAGGGTCACCCCTGGAGGAAAGTTCCCCGGGGGCTGGGGGGCCCACCCAGCCCCGCTCCGTTTGCTCAGGTATACTTTTTTTCCCCCAAGATCAGTGCGGGGGAAAAAAATAATAAAAAGAGGAAGAAACCCCACTCCAGGCGCGTAAATAAATAATCTGCGTGCACGGGCGGGGTATTTGCTGTCTGCCTTCGCCTCTGCCCGGGCAGAGGTGTCAACTCCATCACTGGGCACTGCTAACTGTTGCTAAAACATGTTGTCGTCTCCCCCCTCCCTTAACGATATGACATCACTTGTCAATCAAATCAAAATATGTGCAAAGTTCCCCTTTTTATCCTCCTTTTGCTTTGGGGTTCTGAGGCTGGAAGGCAAGAAGAAAAAAAAAAAAAAATTAGAAGCAACTGGGAGCGGAGCCTGCCTGGATTTGAGGCGATTTCAATAAGAAAAGCGATTTCACTAAGGGGAGGGGGGTGCGGGTTTCGGTCGCGGGGATTGTTCTCCCCCAGAGCACGGAGCATCTTTATTAAACGCAATTTTTTAATATTTTTTTTTTTTTTTGGAAACCTAAACCCCGGCCTGGTTGAAGCCCCGCGGCTCGCAGGGGGAAGGCGGCAGCGGGGGGCGGCGGGCAGCGGCCGGTGCCGGTGGCGAGACGAGCCCCCGCTCCGGGCTCGGTCCCTCCCCGGCAAAGTTTTGCCGGCAAAGAAACAAAATCAAACCTGCGGGATCGTCCTCTTTGCTCCCTCCCGCAACAGCTGCGCCCGAAACAACCTCGCAAGAAAAAGAAAATATAAAATAAAATTAAAGCAGGCTCCTGCGAACGAAATCTCCCCGGGCAGCGCCTGAAAAAAAAATTCATACCTTTTTCTGGAGAAAGGTGTGCGTGTGCAACGCACCCTCCCCCCCCCGCACACCGTTTTCTTTGGGAACTTGCACAAAAAAGCGTTTTTGTGGAGAGGCTGGGGTCGACTCGGGGCTTTTCCTCCCCTTTATTTGCAGCCGAGCGAGCCGGGGGGCGGCGGGCACCGGGGAAAGTGCGGACAAAGCGCAGGTGAAGGCGTGTG